TGCCGGCCCCGCCCGCCGTAGGGGCAGGCAGGAGGCCAGGCAGTCACTGGGCCGGCACCGGAGCACGCGGAGCACGCCAGGTCCTTCAGCCCCTGCTGCAGCATCGGGGTGCACCGACAGCGGCACCGGCGTGTGCTGGGAGTGCGTTAGCAGCAGCCGCGGCTGCTCGGGCTGTGCTCTGACATCTAGAGACACTTTCCTTCACTGACAATGCGAACCTGTTTCATACTTTCAAATATAACCTAAGTCACGGCACGCTGCTCCCTGAAAAGCAGCGCAGGTTTTCGATAGGCTTGTTTCAGTAGGAAGAGGAGCAGGATGGTGACCTGGCAGGAAACTCAGCTCTGGATTTTAGGTGTTGCTTTGCAGTTTGCAGGTGTTGAAGTCCAGCCTGGTGGATTTAGTGGCAGAGCAGGTTCAAAGGGCCTGGACTTTCTGATTTCACAGCTGTGACAACTTCGCAGAGTCTCTGTCATGGACCTCACTTTTGGGTGGGTTCCGGAACAGCCAAGGGAAGCTTTTTGTTTGCTTGCTCTCTGAGAGGTCAGGATGGGCTGAAGCTCAGGGTCTGCAGCTCAGGAAACCTCCTGGGAAGAGGTCTGGAGTCCTCAGCCCAGTATCTCTCAGTGGAGCCAACTGCACCAAGCAGGGACAGAGAGCAGAAGTGCCCACTTCGGGAGCTGCAGCAGGGCTAGCTCTGACATTATTTTGATTATTCTGAAAATGACTCTAAGTCTTCCAGAGGAATCTTCCTTTCAGGACTGTTAGGTTGGCTGGAGATGGTCAATGCAGAAGCTAAGCACACTGACCTGCAGGAGATGACAGATATGCCACGTTGGTGCTCCTGGGGAGTCCCAGCTTCCCACAGAGGCAGATCCAGATCTGTGTGGCAGATCAGGACCCATGTGGCGTAGGGATGCTCATGGCAGGTACTAGGATGGGCCCTTGTGCTTGGTGTCTACTGCACAGACCCAAAAAAGAGACCATCCCTCAGCCCTGGGGAGAGGGGTCAGGTGGAGCACAGTGGGGTTAGCTCGGGATATCCGAGGAGTTGCATCCTCTGGGGCACAAAGACCAGGGCTGACTGCATGGGCTGGTTGGGGAGCTGGCTCATGCACCTTAGCACAGTGGAACCCCCAAATCCAGAGAACCCCAGACACAGGCTGGCAACACCTTGCAAGATTTTATCTCATTTTCCCCTCACCATGCTGGAAACACCCCTGTCCTTGTGTCCCAGCCCGTGCTTCTCAAGCGCACAGGCGTGCTGCTGCCCCAGCCTCGCAGCCCCTAGCACAAGCGAATCCTAATCTCAGTTTTGTTTCTTTGTCTCTTTCTTCCTCCCTCCCCTCTCTCCCCCCCCCAAATCTCTCTCTTTCCAGGAAGTCTGCAGTGAGTTATGGTGTCTGAGTAAAAGCAACCGCTGCATAACCAACAGCATCCCTGCTGCTGAGGGGACCATATGCCAAACCAACACCATTGAAAAGGGGGTAAGGAAGCCCGGGGCACCATAGTGAGTCGACAGTGAGTGGTTGAATCCCTCTCCCAGCAATAACCGGGATTATTGTTTGCATCGGTCAGCACAGAGTTGATTTAAGAGCATCCACCAGCCTGTCCTCCCCTGCCTCCCAGAGCCTGAAGCCCCCCCTGCCCCGACCCTCCCCACCAGCACGAAGGGAAGCTGGGATGTGCCGAGGAGCCCCGGGGCCCATAATCACCCCAAGTACAGATCACCTTGCATATTGCTGGAAATGCAGAATATGAAGTCCCTTCCCCAGCAACCGTTTTGGTCTTGCCTAGGAGGCACAGTAAGGGGACATCAAGCTGTGGCGCCTGCTTTAAATGAACTCGGGTCTTCTTGGGGCTGCTGAGGTCTCCTGGCTGTCTTGAGAAAAGTGATTTTTGCCCCAGTTTCCCCAGGAGGGACAATGGGTTTGTAACATGCTTTGAGAGGAACTTGTGAAAAACTGCCTTGCAAGGCTAGATGTGATGAAACCTTCATTTCTGAGACTCAGCTGAGAGGGGGGGGGGGAAGATACTTCATGACCACATGTTATGAAAGTGAATTTTGACTTGATTACTCATATCACCTCATTCCCTGCACCTCCTACACCCATTTGCACCAATACAAAGCGAGTGTGTAGCACCGTTAAAACAAAACTTTGCAAACTGAATTGGGATGATGGAGAACCGGGGCTGGGATGTTCTCCATTAAATAGAGTTTTTCCACTAGGGGAAAAATAATTCCTGAGAAATTCAAGAATTATTTCAAATCCTTAAGAAGCTGGAGAAGCTGATGTGCAGGAGAGAAGATGGCTTTGACAAATGCATTATTCTTTGCAAACAGTCGTGTAAGTTCTGCTGGAAATTAGATTGAAAAGGAGGAGGCAGCTCCTGGGGCTGAACATCCCTGCTGCTGGAGATTCACCATACAATGGCAATTCTTTTCTACTGGTTTTCTTTTTTACCAGCTTTTCCCACTTTTAAATCTCTCTTTATCCCCCACTTACTAGCTGTTTTTTAACCAGGGCTCTTCAAAAGCCCTAAGAGAAGTGAAGTGATGAGCAGTCATGGCCCTCAGGACTTGTGGGAGCTGTTCCCAGTGAAGAGACTTGACTCAGTTTGAACCTCCAGTTACCTTTCTGTGCTTCTGTTTGTCCTTTCGCATTAGTTCGTGCTTTCAGAAGGGATTTGATATCCTTGGGTGAAAGGAGATGCGCCTTTGTATTGAGTTTCTACACCTTCACCAGGTGGTGGCCCCTGCACTCGCTGGCTGGGTGAGCCCTCAGACCTCAAGCCTTGGCTGGGCAGATCTCTGAGCTCTACCCTGGCTTCTCCCTTTCTACCTGGGGAGAGCGGAGGGAAGGATCAGGGCATAGACGCTAAGGTAGGCAAGATTGAAGGCGAGATAGAGCAAGTTTCTGTGCTCTGCCACCCAACTGGGGAAGCAGTGGGCAGGGAAGACTGAGCCAAGCCCTGTTGGATGGTGGCTGTGCCCACATCCCAGGCCTCTGGTTGTTTCCTCCTCCCAAATTCTCCATATTTTTTTTTTTTTAACTGATCCCCCGTGGTTGTTATGGCTTCACCTGTCTCACCCCAAGAACTCGCCATGGGTGACCAGGCCCGAATCTCATGCTATTTTCTGCTGCCCTATGGGTGCCTCCAGCAGCCTGGCTGCTCACACAGATGGTTCGCTCTCTTGCCGGCTCCTTCCCTATCTGTTCTGGTTTTCTTTTCTCTTTTTTTTTTTTTAAATTTCCATTAATCGAGCAGGTGTTATGCAGGTTGTGGTCAGCACACCCCGTGAGAATGCCTTTCATTATGCATCCTCCCTCCCCGCGTGCCCTCCAACTCGGAGCTGTTCTCACAGCCGGCACACATCTCTGCTTGCCACAGGAGACCAAGCCAAGGTCTGCTCCCAGCAGCCAGGGCGCAAGGGCAGAGCCCATCACGGATGCTCTCAGGAGCCCTGAGCCCCTGGAGGGGTTTGCAGGGGCTGGGCAGGCTCCTGGGTCCTTCGTGCCCAAAGCAGCAGCCCCAGTACCTCCAGTCTGGAGCATCAGCAGGGACAACAGAAAGGCTGTGCCTGCAGAACATCTCCTCTGCGTGGGATCACACCTTTGGAAAGGCACTGGTGTGCAAGGAGGTCGCCAGCTGAGTGTCCTGGGAGGCCATGGGTCATTTTTCCCTGCCGGCTGTGCTGCCAATGGGAGAGCCTGGCTCAGGAGCCGGGAGAGGCTGTGCCAGCAGCTCCAGGGTGGGTTATCAGCCCCTGGAAGGAGCACACAGTGGTTTCTTCCTTCCTGGGATTATCTCAGCCCCCAAGGCATGGTGTCCGGCACCGTGCCCGGAGAACGGCAGCGGGTCTGGCAGTGTCCCGCTCCTTGCGTCACTGTTGACTCCGGGGGTGCAGGACGCTTTCCAGGTCTGAGGGAAATATTTCATAGGCAAGTTTGCGTGAGCATCTGTCACCAGCAGGATGGAGATGGGCCGATTTTCTAGGGATCCTCGGCAGAGCAGTGGCACAGCAACATTCTTGGTTACAATCAGAACTTCCTTTTAACCTGGACCTTCTGCAGATTGGGTCATTTTAACACATTAACCACAACTGGAGCTCCCAGTACAAAATTTACTCCATCCTGGGAGGAAGCAGCTGACAGTGGAGGTGTCCATACTCCCCAGGGATCCTGGCCCTGCTCCCCAGCGGCAGCAGCTCCCATCCAAGTCCCCCCCAGCACTCGCTGCCACGCACTTCTATAGGCAGTGAGGGGTGCTCTGTGTCCCTCTTTGCAATGTGCATCACCTTGAGTGACCCAGGCGCCCAGGACCCCTTCAGAGAAGTGGGGATGTGACCCACTTGCCCGTGGCCGCCTGCCCCACAGGGTGGTGCACCAAGAGTTGGGAGTGGGGGCACCGGTCCCAGCATCCCTGCAAACCCCAAGTACGCAGCGTGCAGAAATGGTGACGCTGTGACTCGGAGGAGAGGGTGCCCGGGGAGAGGTAAATGCTCCCTGCAATGCAAAACTTGACTCCAAGGCCAGCGCCAGTTCAGTTTTGGCAGGATCAAACTAGATCCCAGCTCTCAACTGGCTGCCATGGCTGGTAGGGGCTGGGGAGCACCCTGTGAGGAGAAGACTGTGTGCTCAGGGCATTTGAAGCTCTTTCTTTCCCCAGTGGTGCTACAAGAGGGAGTGCGTGCCTTTTGGGACCCGACCAGAAGGCGTGGACGGCGCCTGGGGAGCCTGGTCGTCCTGGGGAGAGTGCAGCAGGACGTGCGGCGGAGGCGTATCGTCATCCATTCGCCACTGCGACAGCCCGCGGTAGGTGTATGTCGTCCGGCCCTGCCTTCTCCTGGCCCTGCCTTATCCTGGCTGCACGGCATCGCTGTTGGGGTTAGTGGGGAAGGCAGCAGCCGGGTGCTTGTGCAGCTCTGCAGTCAGCTCCCGGGAGGGTCTCGGCTCCTGCACGCAAACCCCACGTCCTGCTTACCCAGCAGCTCGGTACTTTTGCCTTTGGTGTTGGGTCTGTAGCCACAGACCCAAAGCCACTTGGACAAGTGTGACAGGGACAAGGGGTGATGGCTTTAAACTAAACCAGGGTAGGTTTAGACTGGATCTAAGGAAGAAATTCTTTACACTGAGGGTGGTGAAACCCTGGCAGGGGTTGCCCAGAGAGGGGGTGGAGGCCCCATCCCTGGGAACATTCCAGGCCAGGTTGGAGGGGGCTGTGAGCAACCTGATGTGGTTCAAGGTGTCCCTGCTCCCTGCAGGGGGGTTGGGCTGGGTGACCTCTAGGGGTCCCTTCCAACCCAAAACATTCCATGATTCTATGATTCTAAGTCCACTGTGCGCTTGCAGCTGAGCATGTGAAGGCTGCTGGGGGACTGCACTCCTGCAATCCGGGCAGGATCTGTCCTTGCAGTGGTGCAGGGTTGGGAAAAGCCATGGTGCTCCTACAAGCTTGGGGCAGCCACTGGCCACAAACGCGGCTCGCCATCCCGAGCTTGTTCTCCTGTCTTATTCCTGGTTTGGCAGGCCCACAATTGGAGGGAAGTACTGCCTGGGAGAGCGGAAGCGGTACCGGTCCTGCAACACCGATGTGAGTGCTGGCGGGCTTGAGGAGAGGGAGGGTGGTGGGCTTTGCTGGTGGGGTGGGCTTTGCTGTGTTGCAGCCCAACTGCGGGGTGTCACGTGCAGCTGCAGGACCCACGGGAGGAGGTGGCAGCGCTGGGTGGGGGTGAGCCATGCCGCGCCGGCAGCGATCCGGCAATGGGGAAAGCCAAGCGGGATGATGCACACCTGCACCGGCTGTGTGCTGGCTGGGGGGGTGGGCGGGAGGTTTGTACCTGCAGGGAATCAAGAAGGGACCTGAAAAGATAATGAGGAAAAGGGGGAGAGATCAGAGGCTTTCAGCACTGACATGAGAGCTATTGCCTCTCACATGCTGCAAGCGTGGGCCTGGTCAGGCGAGAGCGGCTCGCAAAACACACCCATAGCACCCCAGGACTGGGCGTGAAACCTCAAGGGGAGCAAAGAGAAATAACTGGGCTGCAGGGAAGTTCAAGGAAGCGTTGGACCTGAGAAATGGTAGCTTTAACATCCACAGGCTGGTGGTGAGGAAATTAGATGGCTCCCCATTGCTTCACCGGGCTTTGCACCTAGAAGTTAAAGGATTGCTCGCAAGAGCAAGTGCTGCCGCTGCAGACAGACCAGCGGGGGCCCAACAGCTCGTGCCATCAGCCTTCAAATAGTGTTCAGCTTTGCAGGAAGGATGCTCCTGCCATACCGTGGCAGTATCCAGTTGCCAGGGCTGGTGTCCGTCTCCTAGAAGGGCAGGTGTCCATCTCCTAGAAGGGCCGGTGGCCGTCTCCTCCTCCTAGAAGGGTGGGTGTCCATCTCCTAGAAGGGTGGGTGTCCATCTCCTAGAAAGGCTGGTGTCCGTCTCCTAGAAGGGCAGGTGTCCATCTCCTAGAAGGGTGGGTGTCCATCTCCTAGAAGGGTGGGTGTCCATCTCCTAGAAGGGTGGGTGTCCATCTCCTAGAAGGGTGGGTGTCCATCTCCTAGAAAGGCTGGTGTCCATCTCCTAGAAGGGCAGGTGTCTATCTCCTAGAAGGGTGGGTGTCCATCTCCTAGAAAGGCTGGAGTCCATCTCCTAGAAGGGCAGGTGTCTATCTCCTAGAAGGGTGGGTGTCCATCTCCTAGAATTGCGGGTGTCCATCTCCTAGAAGGGCTGGTAGTCGCAGCTGGGAGCCCCGTAGCAGCTCCTGCCCTCCTAGCAGCTCAGGCAGGCTGCTCCCATCCAACGTGCTGATTGCTGGCTCTGTGGCCACAGGACTGCCCACCGGGCTCCCAGGACTTCCGAGAGCTGCAGTGCGCTGAATTCGATAACGTCCCCTTCCGAGGGAAGTACTACACCTGGAAGACATACCGCGGAGGTGAGTGCCGGGGCTGGGCTGAGCACCCCTTGGCTCAGGCAGAACTGGAACAGGGCCAGGCAGGGCTTTGCTCTCCCCTGTTCTCCACAGGGACAAGTCTTGTGGTCCAAGCGGTCTGGGAGGCAGTTGGCCACCATCTCTGCTAGCCCAGGTCCCGCAGGCTTGCCCGCTCTGTGTCCCTGGGGTGTGCTGCCTCCCCCTTGCCTGACTGTGGATCCACATGCATCCCCCCGGGCGGCTGCCCCTAGTGCTGGCCCCATGACCGTCCTGCTGTGCCCTGGGCTACTTACCCCTGGGCAATTGCTCTTCCAACTTTGTTGCTTTGCTAGAAGCAATTCCAGCAGCATCGGAGCTGTTTAACTTCTTTCCTTGAGTCTGTTTCCTTAATTGCTGAGTGAGCAAAGAGGAAGACAAGAGTAAGTGCCTAGTACCTGATGGGGAGAAAACAGGGCAGCCCACCCTGCGTGGGCAGGTAAAGCTTCCAGTGCCTGCATGAAAGGAGGTGAACTGGTGGATGCTCCAAAGAGCAGCACTCCCCTCTTCCCAAGGTCAATCCTGTGTCCCGCAGAAGTGTCTAGCGAGGAGAGGGGGCGGGAAGAGGCCTCGGTGGCAGAAATCTCTTAATAATGAGAAAGAACAGCGCGTCTCCTTCATGTAGTTAATGAACTTGACTGGGGAAATCCTTCACAGCTGTGTAAATAAGCACAGCTCCCAGCGGGGCTCGTGCAGCTGGAGCAGATGTGCTGAGGCTGCAGGGGATGGATCAATAAAAATGTAATAAAATTGCAAAGCAGTAAGGCACACAAAGACCCCAATGGATGCCAAGGTGGAAGACAGCCCTGCAGGCTGGATCTGCCCTCGCTTGCACTGCTCTCGTCCCCAGGCATGGCCCAGTGGTTTGAGTCCAGGGGACCACTGGTCCATTGAACATCAGCCCTTGAGTTTGGGTCTGGCTCTGATGGAGATTTTTGCTTTAGCTTTCATAAAAAGCCCCTTCCCCTCTCTCTTCCATAAAATAAGGTGATGAAACCTCTCCCCTTCCCAGGAGGCTGTGAGCGCTGGCACAATGGTGTTTTGAAGGGGTCTGGGGGCTCCCTGTCCAGCTCCCCAGGTTGGCTGTGGGTAATTGTCACGAGGAGCCATGTTGTTTATGTTATGCTTTGTTTATTCAGTGTCAAATGCTATCACTGTCTTTCTCTGCGGTGGCCCGGGTAGGGAAACTGAGGCACATTCACATGAGTAGAGAGGTGCTGGGAGCTGCGGTTCCTCAGCCTATTATGGGAGCCAAGCTCCTGGCCGGGCTGAGAGGAGCCCTCATCGCTCCCTACAACTGCCTGAGAGGAGGGGGGAGCCGGGAGGGTCAGGCTCTGGTCCCAGGGAAGGGGCGATGGGATGAGTGGCACCAGCCTCAAGTTGTGCCAGGGCAGGGTGAGGTTGGCCATGGGGAACAATTCCTTCCCCTTGGGGCTGTCAGGGGCTGGAAGGGGCTGCCCAGGGAAGGGGTCGAGTCCCCAGCCCTGGGGGGATTTAACAGTCGGGCAGAGGCGGTGCTGAGGGCCAGGGTTTGGGGGTGGGATGGCAGGGGTAGGGGAACGGTTGGGCTGGGGAAGCTTAGAGGGCTTTTCCAACCTCAAAGATTCTATGACTGGGGAGACCTGACTACAGCCATTCAATACATAAAGGGGGCTTATAAGAAAGACAGAGAGAGACTTTTTACCAAGGCCTTTAGTGACAGGAGGGGACAACAGTCTTAAACAGAAACAGGGAAGGTTTAGAGTGGACATAAGGAAGAAACGGTGTATGATGAGGGTAGTGAGAGTCTGGAATGGGTTGCCCAGAGAAGTTGTGGATCCCTCATCCCTGGAAGTGTTCAAGGTCAGGTTGGAAGGGGCTTTGAGCAAGGAGGGTTGGACAAGATGGTCTTTGAAGGTCCCTTCCAAGCCAAACCCCTCTCTGATTCTACGACTGACTTCAGCAGCATGAGTACTTGCCTGCCAGATTTTGTGATACCCGGTGTCATTTGGGTGTCAGAGGTCCATCGGGGGGTGGAGGTGGGGAGCATCCCATGCACCTCCACCCTCTCCGTGTCGTAGATCAGACCCCGGGGAACAGCCCCCTTTTGTCTTGCCCTTGCCATGGGCATTTTGCTCTCAGGACCCATGTTGTACCCCTGCAGCCCCTGTGCTAGCAGGCATCCCTACCCCAGCATCAGGGAGGCAATGAGGGCTGCCCATCACCTCCCTCACTCCCTCCTGGGCTCTTCCAGCGGTACCCAAGGAGCTCTGGGGTGGCGGGTGCCAGTCCCTCCCTCCCCACTGCCACAAGCAGCCCCCCAGGATCCATCCTTGTTGGCAGCCTCATCCCCGGGCAATTCTGCCCTCCAGCTGGTAGCATACCTGCTCTTCAGATTGCTTTTGGGACGGTGTCCCCGCTTTGGGAGCCATTCGCCACCATCCTGGCGCTCTGCTGAGCCCCTGCTCAGCTCAGCCACTGCCTTTGGCACTGCACCCTTGAGCTGCCCCCTCGCCAAAAGGTGCGGTGGTGCAGGGGTGCTGGTGCCGTTTGCCGGTCAGACGCTGGCCCCACGTTGGTTCAAGAAAATATTCTGGGCACAGAGCACCCCCGCCCTGAAGACAAGGAGCACCCCGCTTGGGTGGGAGAGGGCACTGATCCTGCCAGGAATTTGGGAAGGGAAGGAGCCACCCGCTGAAAGTCTGACGCCAGCCACCAGGTCACCAGCAAATTGAGGTCAGGTTTTGCGCGGGGCCGGTACAGTGTGTTTTTCTGGCAGTGATTTATAACGGTCCTGGAGCCCAGACCCCGGGATCGCAGGACACAGCCCCAGCAAGAAGTGCTGAGCTCAGCCTTTTGGAGCTCAACAGTCAGCAGATACCTCACGGAATGCGGCTTTAATTGTTTGTTTATTTTGCTTTATTCGCTTCGTTATTCATTTTGCTCTTGGCGGATGCAAGAGCCAGGGGAGAGTGGAGCAGCTCACGGGGCTGGGAGAGGGATGGGGAGGAGCAGGGGCTTGCAGAAAACAGGAGATTGCTCATCATAAACTGTAATGCGCTTTAATTCCTCTATGGGACAGGGCAGGCAGGAGGAACCAAACACCCTCCGAGGCACTGCGTAGCCAACTGAAAATAGTCTGTTCTATTTTAATAGCTATTTTAAAGGCAGGCTGAGGGGGTCCCACTCATTCTGTGGAAGTGAGGTCTTCTCCCCATGGTGGTGGACCCACCTTGCACAGGCGGCCACGGGCCCTACGGAGCCTTTCCTGCCCCTCTGCTGCCAAAAGCCTCCTGGGGCTTGCACCGAGGACCCTGCTCAGGGTTTGTGCTGAGGACCCGCTCAGGGTTTGTGCTGAGGACCCCGCTCGTGCCCTGCAGATGTGGCTATCGCTGGGCAGCAGTGAGCCAGCCTGGGAGGATGCAGAGCACCGCCTTGCTCTGCCAGGCCTAAGGCTCCCACCCCAAAAACCTCAGTTCCCACCAAACCATTCACACGCTGGGAGGTGTGCGGTTGCCAGTGGGGCTCGGTGGCATGGCCTCTCCAAACTGGGGGAGCCAGTAGCCAGCATAGGTCCCTCGTGGTTTGTGTTCTCTTACCTTGCTGGTGACGTTTTGCACCTGAGGTCTGGCTGAACAGACCTGGGATCCAGGCATGCCGTGGTTAGATGGCTGTGAGTTTTTGGGGTCGTGCTTGCCTTGTCCCCCTCGGTGGCCCTGGAGCTCCCTCACCAGGCGGGGGAAAGCCCGGGGTGCTGTGGAAGGGGTTGGTTCTCCAGAAGGAGGGGTTGATTGTGCACCTTCTCTAGAGGCTTGCCCAGGCATCCTGCTCAACAGCATCCCTCCAGGCTGCTGAATTCCCCTCTCCTGTCTCCTCCTGTTCCTCCCTTTCCCAGCTTTGCTCTTTCTTCCCCCCCAAGCTGCGTTCGGGTGCTCCCAGGCACTGCTGGGCAACCCCTCCCCTCCAGCCGCCCATTTGATGTGCTGTATCGAGCTGCAAATTTTGCAGATTTGGGTTGTTCCCCACCTAGGTGCTTCCCAGCTCTGGCACACAGCTCACGACTGTTGCCGGTGCCTGCAGGAGCGAACTGCCACAGCTCAGGCATGCATCTCTCTGCCAGGGTCATGCAGGCTGTTGGGTCTCCTTAGGATTCCCAGTAGAGGCAGAAAATGTCATGATCTGCACCAGCATTTGATAAAATCCCATGACAGGAGGCAGGAAACTGCACCTCTCAGATGTCTGCTTCCATAACCAGTCCCACGTCCTGCTCCCAGGCACCACAAGCCAATATCTGGTATTCAGCCCCTGTTCCTTAGACAGTGCTTTGGCAAGGGGTGTTGGGAAGCAGGTACTTTAGCTACAAAGTGAGCATCCTTCCCATTCGTCTTCATGCTGCTGTTGTCATCTTTGCTGCAAAGGACTCTGTGTCCACCAGCCTCGAACAGAAGGAAATAGTCGCTCCGGCCTAGTAACTGGTCTAGGAGCTGAAAAACTTGGTTGCTCTGGTCTAGTAGCTGAAAACACTTGGACAAGTCACTTAAAAGCTGCTGCCTCAGTTTCCCTGTCTGTAAAATGGGCACAAGGGTGTCGACAGAAGAAGAGGAGGCTGAGGGCAGCCCTTATCGCCCTCTACAACTGCCTGACAGGAGGGGAGAGCCGGGGGGGGGTCAGCCTCTGCTCCCTGGTAAGGGACAATAGGACAAGGGGAAATGGTCTGAAGTTGCGCCAGGGCAGGTTTAGGTTAAACATTAGGAAAATTTTCTTCACAGAAAGGGCTGTCAGGCTCTGGAATGGGCTGCCCAGGGAGGTGGTCGAGTCCCCAGCCCTGGGGGGATTTAACAGCCGTGCAGACGCGGTGCTTAGGGCCAGGGTTTGGGGGTGGGATGGCAGGGGTAGGGGAACGGTTGGACTTGATGATCTTAAAGGTCTTTTCCAACCTAGAGGATTCTATGATTCTATGACAGCCCTCGTAAAGTGCCAGGAGACCCAGGAGTGACAGTCACCAGATAAGAACAAGCCAGTTTGTTTCCTTCCCCATCACCTACAGCCTGTGTTTCCCCGGCTGTGCAGAAGGGGCAGTGTCTCACCATGTGTTGGTGTCCAGTTCAAGGGTCTTGACTTGGTGCTGATCAATAAGGAGGGTGCCTGGGTCCCTCTGTGGGTCCCTCCACTCCGCAGGGACATCCTCCTGGGCCAGGGGCTCCTCCTGGGCCAGGGGCAGGATGGAGGCGTGGGGAGGCCGAGGGTAAGGCAGCCGCTACCCAGGTCTGGCTCTCCACATCTTTTGTCTCCTTTGTGGCATCATTTGAACCTCTGCTTCTTTCCCAGGGGGGGTGAAAGCCTGTTCCCTCAACTGCCTGGCCGAGGGTTTCAACTTCTACACAGAACGAGCCGCAGCCGTGGTGGACGGGACACCATGCCGGCAGGACTCCAACGACATCTGCGTCAACGGGGAGTGCAAGGTGCTGCCGGGGTCCAGGAGAGGCTTCGGGCTGGGGAGGGCAGGGCAGAAGGGAGCACAGGCACAGGCATCTGCACAGAACTGGGCACATCCACCTCTGGGCTTGTGCCCATCTGCTCTCCGTGCACCGGCTGCCACGTTGGCCTGTGTTCGCTATGGGTCTCTGCACTTACAGCCCCTGTAGTCCCAGGCACTTGAGATTTCCCTTGAAATGAGATCTTGAGGGCTATAAAAGTTTAAGTATAACACAGCACTGCCGGAGTGGTGAATGCCCCCTGGCAAGCAGACAGGCTCCCTCCGTCTCCGTCTGTCTCCCTTCCTCTATCTCTGGGATCTCTTCATCTCTATGGGGCTGAATGTTCTGTGGAACAGAAGGGGGATTGCACCATAGGTAGCCACAGCTGGGCTGGTGGCCCACTTGCTAGCCCACGTACTGTGGCAGCCGGGCAGAGCTGGAGGCTTCACATAGCCTGGCTACTGCGATGCTGGTGCCGCAGGGACGTGTCTCTCCTTGGGCTGTGGCAGCTCTACCAGCTCAGTGCGGGCACCCTAACCTCTGCCTTGTCCTGCGGCCACGGGATTCCTGCCCGCAGCCCCCAGCCCTTGG